CTTTAGGGTCCCTTTCAACCCAAACCTTTCCATGATTCTATGAACTTCGAGGGTTGCCTGTGGTCATTCAAAAACTCTCTGCTAATACATCAGCAACTCTCTGAGAATAGCTCAAGACATTTTATGCGTTGAACAGCCACCCAACAACACTAAATATGAAAATATGTAAAGCTGTTGTGTAACAGAAAGTAGAGTTTATCCCTCAGGAAGCCAACATGTCCATGCAACTTTGGTGACCTCCCAGAGAAGAAAGTGGCTGAAGCAGCACAACACTGCAGTGTTAAATCTTAAAAAAAAGATTTTAGAGATCATTCATAGAACAAGGAGTGTAAAAGGAAGACTTAAGTACAAGTTACAAATATTAAAAGTCAAAAAGAACAGTTAAGCAAGCGAAATTTTTATACTGAAAGACATCATAAGCAATCAGCATGGATTTGACTGATCAGTTCAACTCACAGGGAAAATTTCAACAAGTGAAAGCAACAAAGAAGTAAAATGGTTAGAACTCTGGGAGATATGGTCAGTGGAAACAGAGTTGATCTGTGATAGGGATCCAAGGTAATGTTAAAAGCACATATATTTATTTTAAGAGCAAGTAGATAAAATCCAACTTTAGTATTTAAAGGCTACTTTTTCCTTTTTAAATTATTTATTGCCAAATTATCTCTAAATTTATCAGTGAAGAGCTGAAGTATGAAATTACTTCAAGCAGGCAGGGTTTCTAGTTAATTCTTAATTTCTCAGAATATGCATTTTGACAGAATTTTATGTTACAAAAAGACAACAAACAAGCAACAGGTAAAGACAAAAAGACAGCTGTCAGGTTTTTGCCTTCCTCAAGATGAACACTGTTCAAGAGCCAAGTTCCTGTCAGAAAAGCACAGGCAGAGGCAGCTCTGCAGATCAGGCAGGAATGGCAAACTCATCCTGCATTCAGTCACATGGAATTTAAGGAGCACTTATGAAAAACTTTGACCAGGAAGCAGATAAACACAAAAGGAGTCAATTCTATCAAAGACAGTGAACAGTGTTGGCTCAAGATTGAGTGTAGGAAATCCCACAATCACTGTCCTTGACTTCTTTTTGGGAAGAGTTATTAAAAAGGCAAGTCAACTCTGTCAACTATCTCCATCTGCACCAAAAGTTCATGGAGACTAATTAAATAGGGAGACAAAAAAAGACTGCTAATTAGCATGATTTTTCTTCCCTGTTTTTACCAGAAGTAGTAATCCATTTTTTAAAAGGAATTTTAAACCAGTTCCAAAATTCTGATGCTCATATAGGCCTGTTGGGAAAAGGGTCCACAAGAAGGCAAGAAATTCACATTCCTCTCAAATTGTTATTCTTAGAACACACCAGGTTACCCACCTTCTGGTAGTCAGGCATGGCATGATAATTTGTAAGACTGTATCTCAAAGTCATAAACTCATCCTGGGCTGGACTATTTCAGGAACTCGCTTTTGGGTTACATTACAGTAAGTTCTCTCCTTCCAGCAGTCCCAGTTACAGAACTATCCATGATCATCCCTCACACTGCTCCTTTGGCTCAGTCTGCTGCTCAATTTTGCCAGTTTGTTCTGGTGATCAAAACTGAAGATTTCTTAAGAGAGGACCTGCTCCAATATTTAGGGTATGACATATTTAGGGACATCAGACAAGGGACATCAAGAGGCACCAACTCAAGAAAGTTTCTAGATCATGCTCTGGTTCTTATAGAGGACTTAAATTCAGCTGGCACCTATGCAAAGAGCAGCACAGTGAGATGCAATCTGAGCAAATTTTAGATGCAGGTATTGAGTGGGCAACTGGGAATGAAACTCAGCTGTAATGTAGTATTAAGTGTTGCAAATACTTTATTCATAACTGTGGATTGTTCCATTGTGCTTGTTTCCCCAGACATTGTACAAGAGCTTTCTCATGCAGCAGATCCTAAACACTGACAGAAAGATAAGTGAAAAAGCTTCCAACAGTGCAGATTTGGGATCAAACAAGGCTGGGGAAATTAGAGATTCCTTTTCGTGGCACACTACAGTGTAGCAATCTCAAAAAACAGCTGTATGGGCATTTAAGCTTTGTGGATTGTGAAATAAGATGTGCATTGTTGTTCAGCAGAAAAGTCCTGTGATCCATTTTTTAAACTATTTGAAATCCTGAGCTTCTCTCTGCAAGTATAAAAAAAATCAGGAAGGATCATGCTCTTCACTATCTGTGCTGTTGGTGTTTATCAGCATGACTGACTGTGTCAATCCCACTGTCACTTCCCTCAGACAGAGCTGGGAAAAACTCTCCTAAGATTATCAGACATTCAAACTACAAACACTGTCTTGGAGGGCCTCCTTGCTATGATATTGTCTCCCTGGTATATTCCCATAGCTTGTCTGAATGATGACAGGCTTCACACTAACAAGAAATTACCTCAGACCACCCAGATGACTTAAGAACATTAACATAATTAAGTCTTTGGAACACAAAGATTTTAGTGGCTTAGGACTCATCTATAGCCACATCTGTTACCAATGTCCCACATCTACTCCAGTGACACATAGTATCCAAAATTGTATTTGTCACACCACCTCACCCACTCCAAGAAAATACAAAAAACGTTTGAATGTCTTCAAGGAGTGAATGCTATCCTTCTTGTCAGGCCCTACCAACTTTCAACACCACATTCTTGAAGCTGATCCTTCCCAAGTGTTAATCTGCCTCAATATAATGAAATTGGAGTTTTTTCACAAGTGGGAAAATAATACAAGCATCACATACTGGTATTTATTTTCTCCTGACACACTGCCAGGGCTATACAAAGAATTGCAGGGTCCTTCAACCAGGAGAGAAACAAATCAATTTAATCTTGAACTTGATCCAATAGATGCTTTGGCCCAATTTTCTTTCTCACTATACTGGCAGTATCCACTGTTCTCACTCTCAAGAGAGCAGAGTGGCATAGAAGACAGGATATGTAGGGATGTGTTTTCACATTTTGGTGAGAGAAACTCTGGTTACATGAACAGTCAGCTATGGTATGAAGTAGATCAGAGTAATGATCTAGCAAAGGGCACAAAAATCTCCACCTTTCTGTGAGGTGACCTCTCTCCTGGGTAAAATGGGAGACCCAGTTTGAACCTCCTTCAGGTAAAGGTGGGGAGAAGTGTCCCAAGCAGGAGTCTGACCATTTAGCTCCTAGCAACAAGAAACCTCACAACTCTGTGAAAAAGAACTCGTTTATTTCAAACCAAACTTAAGTTTTAAAGACAAATGCTTTCTAGACAAATGAATCTACAGTAGCCAGCAGAACAGCCAACCCCCATGCTGGCCATTTCTAGGAAGGAAACTAAGGGAAGAGCAGGAGGAAAATAAACTCCAGAGAAGCATCCTCCAGGCTGGTGGAAGAAATTGTTCCAGCGCTGCCACTGGCTATGCACAATCCATTTGTTAGATGACAACATCACTTAAAAATAGCTAGCAATGCTATGTGGGCACTATGTGAGCCACACATCTGTCTTCATCAGGTTATTTTTTTGTCCAGCAACATGTGTCTGCACATGCACATTCCATCTGCACAGCACTGAACCCTTGCCAGGACTGCTGCTCCGGGGGGTGGTTGTGCTGACCTGCCATCACCACATCTCAGTGAGTGTAAGAACATCACATATGACTGGCAGAGCACTGCACTCTGTTTGACACTGAGCGTGGCTTAAAGGCCAAGCAACATTTTTGTTACAGGATTAACATTAATAGAAACCTCAAAATAACCCAGGGATCCTAATGAGGGCTCAGTCAGTCGCACGCAAAAGCTGCAAATGCTAATGTAGTCTAAGCCATAGAAAACAAATAAGTAACTGTTCTTTATTTTCAAAGCCGATGGAAAACCAAATTCCAAAACACATTAAAAGTCACCATTTAGCAAAAAAAAACTGCAATGAGAATACTGAGATTATCACACGCTGAGAGCAAAGGATTTGAGTGGCTAAAATATTGTGAGCAACTGTTTAAAAGTGATTTCCTCCGTTTTTATCAAGGATGTTTCATCTCCATTTTTAACTCAAATATGAAGAAGGGCAGGGGGGAGCAGAGGAGGAACATTGTCTAGAGTCCTCATGCAAATTAACTGTACTTTTATTTCCCACCTCCTTCAAATTAACACTTAAAAACATTGTATGGTATTGTTTTCACTATTTATTGTTTATGGATAGCTGCTGGATGTGTTTTCATACTTTTTAAGAGATGTAATAGCTCAGGGCTCAGTTACATTTCATCTGTAAATCAGCCACACTGTCAAGTGAGAAAAAAATCATTCCCTGGCCACTGTGAAAAGAAGCAACAACCTCTCTATAGTGAGGAGGTTTTTCTATCACACCACCTATTGTTTAAATAACTACTTAATATCCCACTAAGAAGAATAGGAAATTAGATAGGTAACACAATGTTTTTGCAAAATACCAAGTACAAAACTGCTCCAGAACCCGAGATCCCAGTGGATTGGTAACAGCCACCACAGTTAACAAGCACCATCTTCAAAGCCAAATCACTGGTGCACAGAAGTGGTACAGAAGCTCTTCCTTCCTGTTCTATTTATTAGCAAACCAGGCTGACAGAAGTCACTCACCCCCAAGATTCAGGTACTTCTGGAAAGCACGGTTCTTGGACAAATTTTTACCATAAGACTTAGAAAATACATGTTTTAAAAATCCATTCCCATAGAATATCCTGTTCCATGTTGCATAAGACTGATGAGCACCAATTGCCCACTGTAACAGCTACACCTTAGGAAAAACAAGGATATAAAAACTGCTAATCTAAAAAGTACCCTCATAGTTAAAAGATTTAGAAAATCATCATCCCCAATAAACTATGAACTTCCTTTAATGAAATCAGGCACTATTTAAAATGTCCTGGTAGCATGCTTTGCATGAGGATTTTTAACAGCTGCCTCCCTTGCTCACCTAAAGCAATCTAGATTTAGTCAAATTGATTAGTTTTTCCCAAAAAAGTTCACTTACCATCCAGAAAAGGGTTCCAGTGGCAAATTCAGAATAATGCTCTATAGTAGACAGTACACTGAATATTAAACATATCAGCACCAAGAGAAATCTGCAAAAAGAAAATAGTGTTTAGTGACTTGTCAAGCTGAACTGTAAATCTAGATCTAGTTTTATCTTGCACTCACATAACTTTTTGCACCACAAGTACTTTGTGTTTAATCAGTTAATTCTTCCTAGTCAAGTGAGTACCATCATTTTGCATTCATTAACTTTTAAGAAACACGGAATAAATAAAAAAATATATACACACAGATGTAAAGGAGCATACAAATAGGTATAATATAGAATCCTAGAATCATTTAGGTTGGAAAAGGCCTCTAAGATCATTGAGTCCAAACATCAACTTAACACTTCCACGGCCACCAGGTGCCACATCTACATGTTTTTTGAACACTTTCAAGGATGGTGATTCCACCACTTCCCTGGGCAGCCTGTTCCACTTATTTAATCACACATGCACCTTGTATGTATATATCTGTATATAGAGAGAGACAGAGCTACCAACAGAGATGCAGCTCAATTTCTTAAGGGTTCTCTCCCTTCATAGGTTTCTGACACCTCTTTGCACTTTAAAAAGTTCTCTACCAATTATTTACTGTTACAGTATAATTACTGCGTAGTTACTGAAGAATTAGTCAAAGACCTCATACTTTATTGATACATCTTAATGATTTCTTCATTAATGGCAAATATACAGGGCTGAAATGTCTTTAATAAAAATAAGGCTGAACGAGGAAAGAGATCCAGGTAACACAACTTAGTCAAGTTCTTTTAGCACGGGGTAGATCTCAGCCATGTTCTCAAGATTTACTAGTTACACTGCCCATCACCCAATTCATTTCAACATACACAAGTTGTCAAGCATATTATTCACCAGGTTTACTTCCACTCCAAATGTTTATCTGTTTGAAAATGGTGGTATGTTATAGGGGCACAGAAATCTATCACAAAAAACCCTAACTTTGCCTCAGTGAGCTGCTACACTGACCAAAGATAAGCCAACCAGCAGAGGGGGCAGAAGTCCAGCATTACTACTTCAAAAAATGAAAACCAGAGCAAAGTCTTCAGGAGAGACACTGAAACACAAGCCAGTCTTTGTCAAATGAAAAAGAGCAAGTTGGTAAGGAGTTTACAGAATGAGGGTGTTGCCAGCATCCAACACCAGAATAGTCTAGGCATGGGAATATGCAAAACTTTGGCTTTTCCTTAACACAGTAGGGCTGTTTTCCATGTAAAGAAAATGCAGATATAAAAGTAAGGTAAAGCAGGGTCATAAGAGTCTCTTTTTCTTTATATGTTTAAAATGAGATCAGTGCATCAGCACACAGAAGCCCTTGCAGGCACTGAGTATCCCACTCTGCTGGATCCTGTGCTCCGTCAGCTCTTTATCCAAACATCTTTTACTTCCAGTTAGCAATCCCAGTGATGGGTAAATGGAGAATGACATAAAATGGTGAACAGACTTATCCACACATCAGGGTAGTGCTAAAAGCACACAGAACTCGGCTCTCTTGCAGCTCAGACCACCCTTCAGTCAACAGTCAAAGGAGAACAGAAACCCGTCTGGTCCCTGAAATCAGCATATCAAACAACTCAAGCAAAAATGTACCAAGCACTTCTTGAAACTAGTCAGTCTGTTGCTTCTCATCTTTTTTTTTTATGAAATTGTTGTTCTATTCCTGCCATTATGGCAGATCTTATTTCTAGGCAAAATGCACGTACAAAGGTATGGTAACTCCCTCCGAGTACAGCCCTTTCATTTCTTCCAGATCCCTGCCATTTCAGTCACCTCCTTTCAAAACACCTTTGTCTTCTTTTACTGCCCTCACTAGTAATAAAAATCCAGGGGTTATTCCCATTCTAAATATTGTCTATCAAGATACTGAGAATGACAGTGCACTTTACACCTTTTCTTCTCTAAGATCAGCAAAGAGAAGAACTGGATATCCTTACATACCCTGAAGATACCATCACCACATCTCCAACCACATTTCCTATTAGGCCTCAGGAAAAGTAAAAAAATTTGTAAAATTCAAAAAGAAAAAAAAAAAAGAGAGGTTTACAAAAAATTTGAGAAAAAAATGTTGCAAAGTGCCAAGATGTAGGTGCATAAGGATGTGTAAGGGAGGACAACTGGTGCCACTTGTTTGCTAAGGGACCCAAAACTGTCCAAATGCTGGTAATACAGCCTGCATGTTGCTTCTCTCCTGTTTTTATGTATTAAGACACTCTCTCCTTTTCCATTTCCAAAATGCACGTTAAAACCATTCAAAAGACCCTTTAAATTCACTTTTTTCACAGCACTATATCTTCTGGCCAGTGAGTGTCACTCCCTCCCAACGAATAACAAAGGCAGATCACATGAGCTGAGTACAGAGTAAGTTGCAGTGGGGACAGTCTATCACAGATTAATCGCAGATTAATCAAGAACAGCAACAAAACAGAAGAACTAAACCAAACCAAACAAAAACCAAACAAATAAACAGTGTAAAAAGACTCCCCACGAAAACATAAAGAAAGCAAGCTCAGTTCAAAGGCAGTTCACCCAGTCAACAAGTAAGTCATGAACTGAGAGTGAAGATGTTTTCCCAGTAATCTGTAATCACAGAAAAGCCCTGGCATAAAAACTATAGGTTTAGAAAAGAAGACTGCAATAATTTGTGTGGAATTAGAGACATATGCTGCAGATATTGATCTGTTGCACAGCTCAGCAGAGAACTGCAGTGGCAGCATTCCTGCACGTAGTTTGTCACAGGAGGAAAATGTGTTTTATTAAAGAAAAAAGTTCTCTTTTTGAGTCCACCTTGGCTGAAAGATACAGCCATTAAGTGCCCTCAGTTGTAAATCCTGTAAATCTCTGTGATTTTTCACTTTTATGTGATGAGAACACCATATTTCTTTTCCAGCTAGGCAAATTCTGTGGAGAGAAAAATTGTGTTAATAGACACTAAAACTGCTAATAATTACTCAGACAAGGCCCTGTGGGCTCTGATCTCATTCTGTCCCAGTCCTCCAGTATTTGATCTAGCTAGAATAAAGCTGCCATGTCTTGGAGCAACATGTGCCCAGGGAGCAGTTCAGCAAACCTGCAGTTCAACAGCTGTGCAATCTGGCTGGATGTTGGACGACATGATCTGCACTTTATTCTTTCCATGAATAACATGAATAAAAAAAATATTTGTTCAGCTGGCATATACAGCGTTACCCATTACACGGAAGATCCAAAATACGGAAACAAATTTTTTTTTCTACTGCATGTGACTGCAGCAAGAAGCTGTCTCTTCAATGCTACAAACAGACAAACCAACACCCTCAGTTCTACTGCACAGGCATGTACTTAAACATGACAATTTTCTGTTGGCTTCCTCCAAAAGAACTTTACCATCCTTTTTGAGTCCTGGAAAACAGTGCAAGAAGTGCTTTCAACCAAGGCCTTCCCAATACCAAGGGCTCTTTTTTTGATAACAGCTCCCCCAAATGCTGGAAAACTCCCCCACTAGTGATGCTTTACATTTGAAACATCCCTAGTCTCCCTTTTGTCCATGGAACCCCAAACAGAAGACCCAGACCTGCACTGATAATCTTGCTGTGCAGCCTGTGGGCTGTTGCAGTCTGTGATCTCCAGGAGGACAGAAGTGAGAGGGAATGGCAAGAACCTAATTACTGCTCCTCACAACTAACATGAAAGTAGATCTTCCCATCTCCCACATGAAGTATTGAGAAACTGAACTTGAAATAGATAAGGGATAGTTTCTGGTATTACCAGCCAGAGTCAGACAGAAATGAGATGGCAAAAGTAACAGGGGCATTTTAAGGTAGATACAAAAAAAAATACACAAATCCCCAAATGGCACTGTTTCAGGCAGTTATCTTATGGTATATGATCCCTTAGCACAGGCAGCAGTTCATGGGTGGACACAACCTCAGTGTGAAGAAGCTGGGACCGCTCTCCCCTCTCACTTATTATTTGTGTCCTGGAGGGAGAGGCAGAAAAGGGCCGCAGCTGAGACCCTTGAGGTGCCATCCAGGACCCCTGGTTTACACAGCAGCCCCACAGACAGGTTTTAGCCACCGCTGGCAATGCCCCTTGTGTGCACTTAGAGCAGTTTATGCTCTCAGTGCTCACCACAGGCTGTTGGAAAGAAGCCACAGGGTTGAGCTGGGTGAGTCAGTGGTATCTGGGTTATGACAAAAGTGCTGGAGACAAGCAGCGGAAACAAAGGTCGAGTCCTCCCTGTACCCCAAGTAAATCCATTCCCACAGAAACAAACAATCCTTTAGCACCTGTCTCCCTGCTGGAGTGGAAGATCATTTCTTTTTCCCTCTGATACCTTTAAATCACACCACCTCCATATCTTTTTCAAGGCTACAGACACTGTCACCGAGCCACGCACCAGAACGCAGGTTAGTTTTGACAAGTCTAACCTCAAAGATAAACAGCTTAATTAATTGCCAACTGATCTGCAGAATCCAATAAGCTATGGCTCTCTTGCCTCTCAGGCAATCAGAAAACCTCCTTGTGGATTGCTCCCAACAGCCTCTGGAATGCTAAACATAGCTCTAACCAATGACCTTTTTAAACATACTGAGGAAAAAAACCTTGGGTGAGGGCCAAATTCCCTGTAAAGAGCAGAACAATAGCTGAGTACGTGGTACAACATGCAAACCTTCAGCAGGACTCACCACTAAATCACAGAATATGCTGAGTTAGAAGGGACCCACAAGGATCAATAGCACTCAGTTTGTCTTAAGGTCTCACTTCAGTTTTGGTTTGAGAAACAAGCTGTCCCTCCTAAATGCAACAGCAAAGTCTACCAGTGCTAACAAGTGACAATCAGGTCCTGGGCCTCCCTAAATATTTCTGATCAGATTTGTGGGATACCTACAGGTAGGACAAGCGGATGGGGGTGTGTTTAGTATTGCTGGCTTGGGGTGAAAGTATTTAAAGCTCGTCCTCGTCATGTGGCAATTTCCCCTTCCCCGCCAGCTGCCAGTCTGGCTTTCTTGTTTTCCCCCTGTTATCCACACTCTCTCCTGCAAAGGGCAGTT